TGCACGACCCATATGCGTTTGGGTCGTTGGAAGTCTTCAAGTCGCGGCTCAGACAAACGTTTGAACCGCCTAGAGTTGAGTTCAGAGCTCGAACCGAACTCTTGAAGCTCAAGCAGGGTAAGCGTGATGTGCACGCTTACGCTCAACATATACGACATCTCACGAGTTGTATAAGTTCCAATCCAGTGGATGAACACACGTTGGTTTCGGTGTTCATGCAGGGTCTTGCGGATGGTCCCGTCAAGACTCACCTGTTCCGGCTTGAACTAGATTCACTAGAACGAGCCATTTCCATTGCGGAGCAGGAAGACTTCAGTCTGAGACAGGCTCGCGCCAGCTCGACATCATATCTTCAACCGAGACGATATGACAACGGAGGTCCAGAGCCGATGGAACTCTGTTATGTAGAGAGCGAGAAGGCTCTCTCTACAGGCTACAAGAAGTTGCAGAGATGCAACAGATGTCAAAAGACAGGACACTACGCTTACGAGTGTAGTGCCCCTCGTCCAGTGTCTCGCGACACCGGGCGTAGTGACCGTCCACCCATGAGAAAGGGGCAGGGACGAGGGTCCGCTGTTGGTGCAAAGACGCAACAACGGGATGGACCGTCAAAAAACGGACAGGATCAGTAGGTGCGGAGCACCCTACTGGTCCAGCAACGTCAAGAGAATTTGTAGGCCTCTTGATGAAGGTTGCTCCCAACACACAAACGTTGTGCGTTGCTGCTCTAGGTAATGCGATCTCACTCATAACCTTGGAACTCAAAGTGACAAATAAGTTGTCCCTTCGAGCTCTAGTCGATTGTGGGGCGTCCAACAATTTTGTGCGACGCCAATCGCTGGAAGATGGCCACTTTAAATTCAGTGAATGTGACACACCTCCCACGAGGATGACGGTACGTCTTGCGACAGGCGCATCCGTAACCGTCATGAAGCTTATAGTGAAGATCCACTATACGCTAGAATATACCCAACATGATGATGACTTTATCGCATTGGATTTGGATGACAAATTTGATGTCATCCTTGGAATCCCGTGGCTCAGAAGGTACGAACCACGGGTAAACTAGCAACATCGAACAGTAACGATGACTGCCGCTTGTTCATCAGATGGTCATCTGATGAACGTTTTGGAGCGTCCACAAGCGTGTGGATGTACTACGAGTGAGTGCGATGGCCTCACTTGTGGTACGGTCGTTAGTACGACTGCACAAAACCTCAGTGTACCAAACGGTTACACTTCGGAGCAAAGGTCCGGCGGCTGTGAGGAAACACAGGCTGCGCCGAAGGTCCACCACTCGAATAAGTCGGGTGGACAGGTACAAAGATGTATCCCTAGCGGGGAACATCTAGAAGAGAAACAATCGATCGCTCAGGTTAAGCAAAACGATAATCCTAGATCGACTGGAGAGTCTTTCGTAGAGGATCTCGCTGTGGTTGCGCAACTACAGCTAGAGGAAGTAAAGGGAATAAGTCCCAAGATTACAAATACGGCGGAAATAAGTTCCCCGAAACCCGCGGGAATAAGTCCCCGGGAAGCCGAAGGAATAAATCCTTCGAAGCCTGAGGGAATAAGTCTCCAGGAAATGACAGAGACATTGAATGTCATAGTCAATAACAGATCAAGTGTAGGCGCTTATATTCACTTGATCTGATTGCGCCTCCGAAGTTGACTTCGGAGATCACTCAGTTGCCAACGCTCGAACATAAAAGGTTCTTGCGTGATCTGCGTAGTGGCTGAGTCAAGCAGATCTGCGTACTCGTCGCTGACAAAGAGTGTGTAGCCGAAGTTAGGTCAGCAACAGTGTTTACTGAGAACGAGATAGTTCTCAGTAGTTCATCTATGGACGAGAGTGTCCTAGATGAAAAGACACGAATTGAGCGACATGACTCCCAATCGTGGAAATCGCTCAAGACAAATCCTCTCTATGAAGATTTGATTGAATTCAAGGATGCATTCCCTGAAACTGTTCCGTGCGAGTTACCGAAGGATAAAGGTACTTAACACGAGGTCGAGCTTAAACCAGGCTTGAAGTACTGTGTCATGAAGCAGTGGCCACTGCCTCGTGAACAAGTACTTGCGATCGACAAGTTCTTTGCCGATCGTTTAGCTGCGGGCCATGTGAGGGAATCAACTTCCCCACATAGCTCTCCGACCTTCTGTGTGCGAAAAGCAACAGGAGGGTGGCGGATAGTGCACGCGTTCAACAAATTGAACGCTGCAACGGTACCGGCTCAGACGCCGATACCGAGGAAGGACGTAATCATTGATGGTATGTCAAAGAGTACCATCTTTTCGTCCATGGATTTGATGGATGGCTTCTATCAAATCCTTATGCAAGAACGGGATATGCCCTATACCGCAGTTAGCACGCCTAGCAGCATGCTCTGGGAATGGCTAGTAATGCCACAAGGGCTCAGTAATGCCCCTGCCACGTTCAACAGATGTGTATCACATCTGTTGAGACCAGTACGAGAATTAGCACCGAGTTATTTCGATGACGTATTCATCCATAGTCGGGCTATGGATGGAAAGTCGGACGTTGAGGTTCACAGGTACCACGTCCGACAGGTTCTTACAATCATACGAAAGCATCAATTGTATGCAAACCTCAAGAAGTGTATATTTGCATCAAGCGAAATACCACTTCTTGGGTGCATCGTTGGTAAGAACGGTGTACGTCCTGATCCCGAAAAGATCAAGGCGATCACCGACTGGCCTGTGCCGGTTGATGTCAAAGGTCTTCGAAAATTCCTTGGGCTAGCGGCGTATTTGCATAAGTATTCACGCAATTACGCCGAGATGACTGTGCACCTCTCTCGTTTGTTGAAAAAAGAACGAGAGGTGGTTATGGAACGCTGAATGTCAACGCTCCTTTGAGGGTATCAAGCAGAGCTTGATACAATCCCCAGTCCTAGCAATAGCCGATCAGGACAGGCCATTTCATGTGGTCTGTGATGCCAGCGATTTCGCAATTGGCTGTGCATTGATTCAGTACGATCTTGAAGGCGTTGAACGCGTCGTCTGCTATCAGACGCGTCATCTGCAACCAGCTGAGCGGAACTATCCAGTGCATGACGAGGAACGCCTTGCCATGGAGTATGCACTCGCGAAGTTCAGAGTCTATCTATTAGGAGATAGACCCTTCATTGTTTACACAGACCATGCGTCGTTACGCACGGCAGTAGCCCGCACCTTTCACAACGAATGGCGCGGTGGTTGTCATTCTTTGCAGAATACAACTTTACGGTCGAGTACAAACCAGGACGACTTAATGTCGTCGCTGATGCACTCTCACGTCGTCCCGACTTTGAAACAGTCGCGAAACCCAACAGTGAGACAGTCACTGTTGCGGTTATGACGTCCTCAGTCCCATCTACAACGTTGTATGATGATGTGAGGCGGGCATACGCCCAAGATGGTGAGATTGTGAAGTTGTTGTCACATCTCTCCCAACCATCCCGAGAATCGTTGAAACGATTGTCGCCTGCGTATCGATCTGCATCAGATCGATACACTACTCGCAACGCTTTACTGTATTATACAGCCGTTTCTGGTGACACACCACGTGTTGTCATTCCAGATGATACTGATCTGCGTGTGCGGATCATGTTCGAGTATCACGATGCTCCTATAGGAGGACATCGTGGCCGAGAGAAAACATATCTCACGGTGAGTCGAGACTTTTACTGGCCCCGCCAGTATCAGTTTGTGCGAAAGTATGTTCGCGCATGCGAAGTCTGCCAACGAGTGAAGTCAAGTCCTTCACTGCGTGCACCTTTACAGCCTCTAATAGTTCCGGCTGAGTGCTAGGAATCCATCTCAATGGATTTCGTCTTCGGGTTACCCAAAGACGCACGCGGGAATACGGGTATCCTCGTATTAGTTGACAGATTCAGCAAAATGGTACACCTAGTGGCTGTACCAGAGACAATCACGGCAAGTGGCTGTGCTTGTGTCTTTATTGACACCATCTTCCGACTTCATGGGTTGCCCCGTGAACTCGTATCAGACAGAGATCCACGATTCACTGCTGATTTCTGGCGTTCCGTGTTCAAATCACTCGGAACGCGCTTGAAGATGTCTACATCTGATCATCCAGACTCAGATGGTCAGACGGAATGAGCCAATCGTGTCCTCGAAGAGATACTTCGAGGATACGTACACTCCTTTAAGAGTTGAAGTGAGATTTTGCCAATGGTAGAGTTTGCCATTAACAACTCGGTGCATGCGTCCACGACACATACACCGTTTTACGTGAATGGCTTACGCCATCCGCGTGTACCCACCTTACTCGAGTATAACTCTGGTTTAAGGGGTGGAAAGACTCGCGCGAGCAAAAACGATTTGGTTCACGCTCATCACGCTCTGACGATGAGGTCATTGCGTTTAATGCCGATATCGATAACATCGATATCGAAGAAGATGATGCCAGTGAGAGCGCGGAAGCCCTCACTGAAGAAAAGATTGATGTTCCTGAAGTGCACTCACAGCGCACTGAAGCTAACAAGTCATCAGATGAGTTCATACTGGCTCGTGAAACGGTAGTCCTTTTTGTGCAAGACTCCATCGCCGAAGCGGTGGATAAGCAAAAGCAAAACGCTGACAAGAATGAAAGGGAAAACACTATTTTACTAATTAAAGGTGACTTAGTCCTGCTGTCTACGATTAGCCTACCAAAGCATGTAGTGACTATCTTGGGTAGTAGTGAACTACTACCCAAGCTCATTGGACCATTTCGTGTATTGCATCGTTTAAGCAACGCATACACGATCGAACTGCCACGTAAGATGCGAAAGCATCCCACGTTTTACGTTGGTCGGCTTAAGCCGTACCATCAGTACGCTGCTTCTTCCGATGAAGAACGCCCATGCCTTCAAGCATCTCACAGAGGGCCTTGTGCTCCCGATGGTGGATATCGACAAGGGTCTGAGGAGCAGCTATCTCATCCCGAGACCGGTCAATATCCACTTAAGCTACCCTTAGCTTGTCACGCAGAGATGTCAAAGCTCTCTCGTTCTCAAGCTGAGAAAAAGAATACTCAGCTCGGTGCTTCAAGACAGTGTCCGCCAGTTGAAGACGTCTGTCCCGCTCATGTTCGAGGTCTCCGCGTAACGCAAGCGTTACGCGATCAAAGAAGCTCTCGGGAGCACGCGCTTCCCCACGATTGTGTGGAGAGCGTTTTGCCTCCTCCTCAACCTCCATTGGAGGACTCTCGCGGTGGCCAGCGCTATCTGATTGAGCAGCTGTTGAACCACCGCGACGTGAACGGACGTCACACGAGTTATCTCGTCCGGTGGCGCGGCTATCCCCCGTCCTAGGATACCTGGGAGCCCTGCTCCCAACTGATGATGGATGTACTGGGTGGTTGAGCAGTACGACGCGGCACATCCTGTGTTGCAGAAGGACCGTCAGAGAAAGTCTTCCCGGCACGTTCGTAAAGGGATTTCAGGTTGTCAATCCCTTCGTACATCTCAGTAGAGATACGTACGCGCAACCACGGGCTAGTAAGGAGGTAGGCCTCCTTAGGTGCGCGCGCCGAGTTGTTTACACAACAAGGGTACGGGTCTCCCCAGAAGCGACAGGGTGTCCCACCCTTCTTTAACAGACGATGCAGCTTGTATCGTGCACCTGTCGGGGTTCTCTTTTCAAACTTATCACGAGCTTTGATAAGGTTGTCGTTCCAAACGTCACGACCTACATCCTCAAGGTTACATATGTAAGCGTTCCACGCTTGAGGCAGTGAGGGACCATCACGTTTGTGGTTCCCACTGCACCATCGATGCTTAAAGAAAGCATCGATAAAGATTTTATTCTCAGTGCGATAGTCTTTCGTACTGGGTTTAAGGTGATAGATCCTTGACGAATCGAAAAATCGTGTTCGATAACGATCACTTGTCGTCGCCGACAAGCGATCCATGACTGACTTTGGAGGCAGCCATGCCTTCTTTTCGGGATCGAGACGCAACACACTGCGGTCTTGCTCTTCTTGCGACGTGCCGACAGATGTACTGGCACCTCGTTGCGAAGTGGTGTAAATAGGAGAACCGACACCACTGTGAGCGCCCGAGTCGTGCGACCTCGAGCGCTTTCGCTTCGGCGATGTTTCATCTGATTCGTCATATGAACCGAGATGCTACGACGCATAGCATCATCCATGCCACGCTTGGCAGGCGGATTGGTTTCGATCGCCGTCGATACGGATTCGTCTTCCGTATCGGGAGAGTATTGGACACCGAGCTCATACTCTGTGAAGACATGAGTGTCTTCACGACGAGCGCCTGCATCACCAGGTGACACAGGCTGGGTCGCCTCAGCAACCGATGAGACAATAGTTGCTGTGGTTTCTGCTTCGGCGTCCGCACAGAGACGTGCGGACGCGCTTTCGGCGGCCTTACTCGCACACCGCATGGGCTTGTTAACCATGCGATGAACTGTTGGAAAGTGGACTCGGACCAACAAGTGCAAACCCTGTCCCAAATGATTTGGGACGAGTATCCAATTAGTCAATCAGTCAATAAAGTGACTAATGGTTAAGGGGGGGTGATGTAACGGGGTGAATCGTTACATAACAGTTTATAAGACATTGTTAATAGAATATAACTATAAGAGTTATATTCTCAGAATACTGTCATTAGGACAACTATTCTGTAGCACTTACGAGTAGTTCCTAATTGGTTGATATAGGCCATTATATCAACCAACGAAGACGCGTCACGAGAGACGCACGCAATGAGTGGTGAGCAGATATTTGATATGCACATTTGTATTCAGACATAGTTAGATGAGGATAAATAGTGATTTGTTAACAGACAGTAACTATGATAAATACAGTTCTACTTTTTACTTTAACCAAGTACTCGCTTCTTGTTACCGACTTCCTCTGCACATACCTGTGTACGTCAAGTTCCAAGGCACCGCCTTATTCTGTCGTCAGAATAAGTAGCTTGTACTGTCATCAATACAAGCTTCAGGGTGCCCTGTTACAACAAGAGCTCGACAATTAATTCAATTGGGCAAGCAGCACCGTCTGCTCTGCTGAATGTCCGCTTTGTAACCTTCATCGTAATCATCAATTTGATTACTCGTGTCGTTTCGTTCACTGCCATAATCAGTCCAAGGGCTCGTCTGCTGCCGCGCGTGAGTTAAGACCGTGTTTTCTGTCGAAAATGCCACATGTGTACGTATTTCCTTTAAAAAATAGAATCCGAAACGCTCCCGAGGCAACTCTAAACGTCGCATAGGTGATAGGATATCAGAAACTAGTGACTGAATGTAGAGAGTGCTGACATAATGCAGAGAGTGATGGCTGGAGATGACGTTGTGCAGGTGTTCATTAAACTTATTTTGACTACTATTTTATAGGTGAGGTAGGTAAAGATGACGTGATCCATGTAGTCGGTCTTGGGACGAGGTACATGAGATGACCAGACCTCAGTACAGAAGAACGAGTAAGAGACTGCAGGAAGTTTAGTCGCTTGATGGGTTGAACAAGCATGGCGAGTATACCTGATTGGTGAGAGAAATGCGTACTTACTCCCACGTCGCAGACTTGGGTCGGTGCATCTCACGGGTCGGAGCAAAGGCATGAGCGAGGACGACTTCATTCTGAAAAAATCGATATCAGCAACACTCGAGTCTACAACACAATCCCGTTGACAACTTAACCAGTTTGAATGATCATGATGAGTGCATGATTCATTTCTCGATCTATCAATTTACTTGTTGCTGAAGTTTCTCTTCTGTGTGCATGTGTTTACTAGTGGATTACTATCGAGATCCAGAGCTTATGCAACCTCGTTGAAGAGAGTATCCGTCATGTACTGAGTGTCCTGTCGGAGATTGCTTCCAAAGCATGCGGCATCTACGAGAAGAGCGTTAGTCCCACTGATTGGGACTTCAACCAGCTCACCAAGCTGCGCTCAAGTGATGAAAATCACTTCACCATTGGGTGTAGCCACGCACTGCGCCCGCTAAAGGAAACAAGCAGGCGCAACAAGTGGCATGCTACCCAAGCAGGTACTGCAGATGCCCAGCCGGCAAACAGGTTCAAGTTGAAGCCTATTTGCAACGAGATTAATACCAAGGAGTTCACACAGCTCGTTGCTACTCGCGATCCTGATGAAGATGGGGAAGATAGAACGTGGTACAGCCGGACACTGCTCCATTTAAAGAACAAGCGCCAACGCCAGTTGAGCCGCTACGATCGAGCTGATTCGTTTTGTTCGACAATCTCAAGTGTTGACTAGTTTACACTTGCAGTGTCTTAGACCGTAGTCTAGCGATAAACGTTGTTAATATATCTATCTGGTAAACATGGTTCGCGACTTCATTGGTGTTAACAGTAAAAGCATGATCAAGAAACATGCGCAGTCACAGCAACAATACTCTGTACTGATGCGACAACCTTTTGTAAACGCGCATATATTATCTTATTCAGCTAAACTCGTCTAATTCGCTTCTACAGCTGCAAGTCGATCCGGCTGCAGCAACACAGCTGACAGTTTCTTGGAGCCACGTTCACGCCAGTAAGATTCACGTTCATCCGCACGTCTGTGATAGTCAATGCTTCAGATGAAAAACTAAGTCACGCTCATCGGGTTGCGGACAAGTGGTCACGAATGGAAACGTCAAGTCACATTGAAGCCTCTGGCAGCCTAACGCATGAAAGTAGCATTGAGCAAAGTGGAAGGACTAGTGAGCAGACTCGAGCAGGGGGTGTGGTAGTATCGGCTTCATTGTAACATGAAGGCACCCGAGGTGTGTAAGTGAATTCATTGCATGGTAAAAGTACTGACGCAGCAACGACTTGTGCATTGGTTCATGCAGTGTACGTGTATCAATGGCTGCTACGTTTCTCGATATTGACACAGTACGCGCTCTCACATCTGATCGGTTGTTGAAGTATATTTTATCCGTAGGTTCCAACGCCGATTGAACACAAGCAAATCCACGTGTCACGCGTACCATTACTAAGTAAACCAATCGTGGTACCGAGATCAACCAGAAAGACGTACAGCCCGTCTGGAATCGCCAGCTCGTTTGCACTCAGCTCACGCAAGTGCGAGAAACACATGTCGATACCGCAGGACCCGTACAGTGCGTTGAGGACGTAGTCAAAGAACATCCTGTCGGTAGCAACACCTTGACTCGCCATGTCTCGTAACACGTCTTCCACAGCCTTCGAGTCACCGCGAGATGCGTGGATGAACGCCACAGTCGTGAAAGCCTTTAGCAACTTGGCTCTTGCTGTCGGTACTTCAAACACAATCAAGGAAGGTTCTTACGCTGCAAGAAGGTTATCCACGCATCACCAGTACTGCACAAGAATACTGTGCGTACGGTACGGGTCATTTGCTGTGTCAGACGACTCAATACTTCACTCATCGCGTTCTCGTTTCAGTGAAAGTAGTGCAGTCTCTCCTGGTCCAATATGTAACAACAAGCGTGTTCAAACAGGGCTGCAGAAAGAACTTGAAGGCTCTGAAAGAGCTACATACGTCGCCGCTGTCCCAAAAAACTCCGTAATGCTGTGACCAGATTTTCATGGAACGGAGTTATATCGGCTGCTTGTCGAACGGCTTTAAGTTCTAACCAGCCACCTTATTTACTTGACAACGATAGGACAAGCCGGCGCTGCTGAATCGCGCAAAGCATCGACAGGTCTTCATCGAGCGCCACAAGATTTGGATACGAGAGATTGGCTGTCACGGAGACGTTGACAAGCACAAAATTTGGGTACCAGTACCTAATGTTGCGTCAAAGGGTCTGGAAGTGCACTCGTACTCTCGGTAGCAATCGCTGTCTGTCATATGTGGTGCACCCGAAGCTAATCAAAGAACGCGAAATCGATCGAACAATTGGGAGGTCTTGCCAGTGACTATGAAGCCTCTGTTGATGATCGCGGTTCAAGACCGTTGCTACCAAGGTCGATTTAGTACTCGGTTTAGCTGCACACGCTCCTTTGTTAGCTCACTAGCCACGGGAATGCCTCGTTCAAGCCCGATTGGTCTGGTCGGTCACGCCGACTACTTTCCTGGCAATTTCTTTATCATACAGCTGCAGCACAGACGATACGCGCTTCACCAACCAAGCAGTTGATCCTGATGTTGTTTGTCTCCTATACAACTCATCGGAAAATAATCGATGTCTCTGGACTGCGCCATCAAGTCCCGAGAATTCCAAAGTGTCAACAGCCTCATAGTTGACGTCTATATCTTCTTCGTCGCTTACACGTTTATCTGGGCACCTTTGAAATAGCTGTAAACTAGTGGCCATCAATTTGTCAAGTCTTTACGAAGCAAGTATATCTCGAGACAGCACATCATTATCGGCAAAAAGCTGCAGCGAGTATACCGGTTAAAGCAACGAAGTTGCGTGCCCAGCAGCGACCTATCCACATTATTCTTCTGTCAATATACGTGCTAACCAATGCAAACACAGCGAACCGACAGGAACACCCGATCAGATCAAGCTTCGCTGCCGAGACTAGAATAGACGTGCCTTGTTAAACTTCGATGTGGTCCGCACGCAGCACACGTCCATTTCATGCCACAACATTTTAATCGAAAACGCTGATGCCTTCCGGGACATCATCACTTATTTCGACTCTTTCACTTACGTGCCGCCTTTAAAACATTCACTCGATCAAGGAAACAAGTGATACTCCAATGCCAAACACACACGAGGCAAGCGATAAGTTTGTCTCGACATGCAAACAAGAACGATGCAAATGCAGCAGTCCCGCAAACGTAACCACTTTGGCTGCAACTTCTGGCTGAGCGCTGCTGAGCTGTGCCCTGTTGTAAATTTTACGCCTGGGCATAACGTATTGAAAAAATGTTCTGTAGCTCAGCCGGTTTAATATGGCAGTACCATCCCGAAGGTTACTGGTTCGATACCGGTGGGGCGTGCAAACAAAAAGTTAAGCCTTCGGGATCTGGTGTTTGGGGTTCACCAGCACTGTCCTTCCAGACAGTGACGTCCCCCACTTTCGGTACGTTTGGGTGTTTATAAACGCATGACCAGAATTAGAAACGTACGACTAGACGATTAGTAATGTGCGATGTGGCGATTACTAACGTGCGACTAGACGATTAGTAATGCGCGATATAGCGATTAGGAACGTATAGTCGAAGAATCAAGTAGGCTTAGAGTAGCAACAGAGTTTGTATACTAAGGACCTAAATGTAATCACTTTGCATTTTACCAGCTTTGTCCAACGACAAAAGGTTATGAGCCCAAACCCTGCAGACTCTGCCCACGACCTCGGCCACGCTTTCTCCATGGACGCCATGCCGATCGCCACCGCCCGCATCAATAGGTTTGCCGGAACAAACTTCTGTACGTGGAAGTTCAAGATGCAGATGGTGCTGGAGGAGAGAGACCTGTGGGATGTCGTGAGTGGGGAGGTGAAGCTTGAGTAGTGCGTGTCGACATTGGACCAAGCAACGTTCAAGATAAAGTTGCGTAAGGCACTGGCGATCATCTGTCTCGCAATGGAGGACTCGCAGTTGCCACTGGTGCGCTCGGCGGAGAATGCGTACGATGCATGGTCGCGTCTAGAGGGACACTACGAGAAGAAGAGCTTGGCTAATACGCTCTTTCTTCGTCGCCGTTTCTTCACGACAATGATGAGAGAAGGTGATGACAAGCTAGAACACATCAACAAGCTCAAGACCCTGGCGGAGCAACTCGACGCGGTTGGTGCTCCGGTCAGCGAAGACGACTTGGTCATCACTCTTTTGTCCAGTCTCAGCGAGTCCTATCAGTTCCTGATCACGGCGCTGGAGTCAAGATCCGACTCGCTGACATGGGATTTAGTCACGTCTCGTCTGATGCATGAAGACTTGAAGCGCAAGGAGCAAGGTGGCGGAGTCGATGGATCCGTGCATGGGCAAGCTCAAGCGTTCATGTCAAGAGACAACAAGCGAAACGGACGACCAGGTAAAAAGACTGGTGCGTGCCACAAGTGTGGGAAACAAGGACATTGGATCGCGGAGTGCCCCTCGCGGATCTAAGAAGACGCGGAACGACATCGATTCCAGCGTGCGAACGTGGCGCAATATGAAGATCTTGGCGAATATCTGTTCTCGGTTGGTGGTGAAGTCGCCAAGTCGAGTAACGTGTGGCTGGTCGACTCGGGTGCGACGCAGCACATGACGAGCTCCAAGAAGTTCATGAAGAACTACAAGGTCTTCATTTCGGTCGATGTGCACTTGGCAGACGATGGTGTCGCTCAAGCTATCGGAAAAGGCGACATCGTGATGTCAATGAAGACGCCACGCGGTACCAAGAAAGGTGTGCTCACAGACGTGTGGCATATCCCGATGTTATTGCGTAATCTGTTCTCCGTGGGTAGATTCACCAAGGACGTCGGGTCAGTCACCTTAGAAACCAACGGATGCTTCGCGGAGACGAAATGTGTCAAGTGGAAGCTCGGTGCTCGCGAAGGCAAATGGCTTTTCAAACTCTGCATGACGCCAGAAGCGTCTAACGAGAAAGCTTATCGATTCGAAGAGATCAAGAGTGGTCGTGTGCTGGTCAGCCGCGACGCACATTTATGGAAGACGTCTTCGACAGTGGAAGACGCGACTACGTTCAAGTCGAAGTAGTTCTAGAAGATGAAGAAGGTTCAACGGTTAAAGACTCATTGTGTTTTAACAAAGAAGAAGAAGAAAACGTGCGGGATAAAGACATGATCTTCGTGGCACTTTACGTCGACGATTTGGTTATCGCGAGCAACAACGACGAGCTGCTCAAGTCAACAAAGAAGGCGCTGGGTGATCGTTTTGACATGACGGATCCGGGAAATCTCAAGCATTTTCTCGGTATGGAAGTTGATCAAGATTTCTCGGTCGGCACAATCTCGATTCGTCAGTCCAAATTCGCGAAGGATATCCTCGAGAAATTTGGCATGGAACATAGCAATCCAGTTAAGACTTCAAAAGAACCCGGGCTAAATCTGACAAGGTCCATGTGCGAAGGAGGATGCAAGCACAAAGACACGATGGCAAAATGTTCCATATCGCAATGCTGTTAATTGCCTGATGTACCTCATGGAAGGGACTCGCCTGGATCTCGCAGCTGCAGTGGGAGTGATCAGCCAGTTCGTAGCGGACCCTTGTCCGACACATTGGCAAGCACTTAAGCGCGTGTTCAGTTACGTCCAAGGCACACAAACCCATGGGATTGAATTATAAGCCACAATCAATGACAAGCTTCAAGGCTACACAGATGCAGACTGGGCTGGTGACGTGGAAACTCGGCGAAGCACAAGTGGATACGCGTTCCTGTTGAACATCGGGTGCATCAGCTGGAGAAGCAAGCACAGCGTTCAGTGGATCTATCGTCTACAGAAGCCGAGTACATGGCGTTGACAGAAGCCACACAAGAAGCGTTATAGCTCAAGGCATTTTTGTGTGAGATTGGTGAAATGAAGAACGACGAAGCAGTCAAAATCGATGAAGATAACCAAGGTTTAATTGCGTTGGCCAAGAAACCCGAGTTCCATAAAAGAACGAAGCATATCGACATCCGGTATCACTTCGTGCGCGAGAAGGTTGCATACGGCCAAGTGTTGCTACAGAATTGCGCTACGAAGAACATTTTAGCAGACCTCATGATGAAGTCGATCCCCGCTGCGCAGTTCGTATATCTTCGGGGCATGCTGGGGTCAAGACGCCACGGTCTACCGAGGCGAGTGGGAGTGTTGTAAATGATACGCCTGGGCATGACGTATCAGAAAATTGTTCTGGAGCTCAGCCGGTTTAACATGGCAGTACCATCCCAAAGGTCACTGGTTCGATACCGGTGGGGCGTGCAAACAAAAAAGGTAAGCCTTCGGGATCTGGTGTTTGGGGTTCACCAGCACTGTCCTTCCAGACAGTGACGTCCCCCACTTTCTGTACGTTTGGGTGTTTAAAAACGCATGACCAGAATTAGAAACGTACGACTAGACGATTAGTAATGCGCGATGTGGTGATTACTAATGCGCGACTAGACGATTAGTAATGTGCGATGTGGCGATTACTAACGTGCGACTAGACGATTAGTAATGCGCGATATAGCGATTAGGAACGTATAGTCGAAGAATCAAGTAGGCTTAGAGTAGCAACAGAGTTTGTGAACTAAGGACCTAAATATAATCACTTTGCACTTTACCAGCTTTGTCCAACGACTTTAGGCCCGACATTGCTGAAGAATTGGAGTCCTACAACATCTCCGCAACGTCGGTATACTGGCAGCGGATGGCAGCACCGACTTATTACATTATCACTGTGCAGCAAGAACCCAATGCTGCTGCTTTATTTCTTCTTCTCCAACACAATATTTTTACTTATTGCACTCATGCACTCATGTAGACTCCAGATCAATGGGGGCACCAAGACGTAGAGCTCGTAAAAGTATCGGCATAGTTCAATCGTACTTGCTAGACCACAGAGATGTCATAAGGAAACCGTAATATTACACGAAACACGTCGCCGAATTTTTCTTCGCTTTTCAACTGCTCAAACGTGCAGGTCAAGGTAACGAAGACCCGAGGCGATAAAAAATCCAATAGAAATATGCGCAACCTAGTCGGTGTGAAGACCAGTAGAATCTTTTGTCTTGGTAAGGTACAGTCAGTTTACAAAAAACGAGGTGGGTGGGGTCCATCAAGAGAGAGAAATAGCGATAGCGAGATAGTTACTCCGGATAGATCCATTCGTTCTTTCCCAGCGTCATGCCGCGCCACTCTCATCCATCAAACGTCCAGCTTTCACATTTCTTGTAGCGGGGTCACACTAGCCTTTGGTTGAATTGGTCAAAGACCTCCAAAATGGATGAATGTGTGTGACCTTAGATTTTACATCAGCAAGAGAGTATCGATTGATCGATATTCCCAGGTTTACGGTACTTACCGTGTACGTACTTTGTACCGTCATCATTTGATGACTAAGTGATGTGGCAACCACCCATTTAGTTCGAATGCTGGTGTTTGTATTAATTTTACTTTAGGATAATATAGGGTGCATAAAGTAGGATTTTCCACAACATAAAATCTAAATAAAGTTCAGTTCTCGTTTGAGCAGAAGTCCCTAGACCCCCCCTCTTTTTCACCTTGCGTTTGACAGTTCCTTCGAACTGTCGTGGGTTAGAGAGTCTTTAGACTTTTGCATTCCCCTTTCGCACATTGTGCGTGTAGTTCTTTAGAACTACAGTAGCTGAGCTGTTAGCTCGTAGAGTCCACCCGAGTTCTGTAGAACTGGGTGACACTTTAACTTGATACATTAGTTCCGTAGAACTAATAGGCTGTCAGCCGTAACCCGTAATCCGTTTAAGTAATTATCATTTGACTTAAAGAGCTGTGTAGCTCCGCGACAGTTGGTAGCACTTGTAGTCAATCCTACACCTGAGTCGTTTCAACTAAATCTATGTGAGAGATGGAAGGCCTTGACGGCCTCTCGAAGGCTCAACTTATCGCGCTTTATAAGCTTAGATCATTGATAGGGGTCGAGCAGGTCGACCACATCGTGTCCCAAGGCTTAGAAGTGCTTAATGCAAGTCTTGATGCATTTTTGCAGTTTAAGGCCACAATGATAGGGCAGGTCCACGACCATTTAGCCTCAGCCGTACCTACACGGTACTTTCCAGTACCTGAAAGTGAGTCAAAGACTCGTCCGCTCACTCTTAGAGCTAAGTAATTTTGAAGGTAAAGAAAGGGGAAGTCTCCTCCTCTCGATCCAAGAAATCGATATGGCTATTGAAGCCGCCTTGCTTCAATCGGAGCGACAGAAAGTTGGCCTAGCCATTTCTAAGCTCGGTGGTAGAGCCAAAAAATGGGATCTTACCTGTAATACGTCGGTTAGCTCTGCGTTTGTCACACGGTATTCACTTAAACGAGAGATGTATCGGGTGTTAGCGCCACCAAATCAAGCGTAACGTGTTCGCTCTCGATTCCTTGCCGCTAGGCAGGAAAATAGAGAATTATCGGGCTTTGTCTAAGAGTTACGAACGCTCATAGCTCCTATGGGGCTGGACCCTCTTCCATAGCAAGTCCGTGTCACCATCTTATGGAGGGCCTTCGTAACGGGATCTCGAGTACGGAAGTCTTCCGCGTCTACCCCTCAACGTACGAAAAGGCTGTAGACACAGCGTTGAAAGCTAAGTTCAACTTTAAAGCCGCTCGCTATAGCACTCATAGGCATGCCCAAACATCATTTGACGGGGCTGAGCCCACAGACGACAGTCATGCAGAAGAAAAAAAGAGAGATCTTCTGGCTGTTGAACAACAACGTAACATCCGTAGATGTTACATGTGCGGGAGCACCAAGCACTTGCGCCCTCAGTGCCCACTGTGGAAGCCGCGTCAAAGTCGGCCGAGCCGCAATCCGCCTCCTAATCCGAAGTTGGGTACGTAGCGGGAAAACGGCAACTCCCAGTAGGCGCGGGGCGCCCTACTGGGGAGGAACTAGGTTCGGCCGAATTTTTAGGTGGTAAAGATAGACAGGGCTTAGCTCCAGACGGTCTTGTGGAAGTTTCCACGAGACGTGAGTATCAGCCAGGCTTGTTAGTGGGCTCGGCTACAATTAAGGGTTTCGAAGAGCCGTGGTCAATATTTATTGATTTTGAAGCGTCAGGCAACTATGCTCGACGCCGGTCCCTAGAGGGATGTCAGCAATATGCTGAGGCGCTGAAAGCGCATGAGGATGATGATATCACTATTAGCTAAGCGAAAGGTACTCGTGTCACCGTATCTAAAGTTCCGTTGAACTTAAGTGTGAAATTTTTAGATTTCGATAGTATCGAACGTTTTCTTGTCCTGTGTTTGGACTCGAGATATGATCTCATCCTTAGTATGGCTTGGCCTGAACGCCATAAGCCATGGGTTGATCGGAGGTCGAAGACCTTAGGCGCAATGCGGAATGTTCCTAGAGAGCTTTGGAGAGTCATGAACCCACCTTTGCTAGGCAACAAAAGCGCTATTGGCGCGCGCCACTACCGGAATCTGTCAGTGTGCTTGATATTGAAGTGTCTGAGCTATTTAACTCTGATGTCATTGACAATAGTGAAACGGCACGTATTCCGTTAGGTGACACAAGCAATGACAGTGAATCACTGAATGCTGAAAGCATTGATGGCTTAAGGTCGATTCATCCTAAGTGTGATATCTGTGATGCGTGTGGAGCGGCACGTAAACATCCACAGAGTGAGGTCGGCCGTGATGGCACCCCACTAAATGTCGGTAATGACATTGTTGGCGATCGCCAAGGCATCAAAAGCTAAATTCAATAGTTGCGAGTGTAGTGGTACGTATACATCCACAGAGTGATGTAGTCCGTGAGGGCACCACACTTCATGTCGGTAACGACATTGGCTCTCAGAGAGAGCAGGTCGAGATTGAAGATGATCTATACCTCGTGGAACCGGATGTCCCTAGTACTTTGAAGTGTTCAGTTACTGTACACAGACGACAGCGACGCCAGATGGAGGCTGTGAAAAGAAAGGCTTCTGCCACAACCCACAAGCACACTAATGAACAGTTGTACACGCTAGTCAATGGGGTGTCGGGTGAGATTAAGGAAGAAGCTGGTCTCGAGGCCCACCTATCGATCAATGCTCTGCTAGAGCTAGACGAAATGTCTGTAGACGAATTTCATCAAGCCTTAAAGGCTAGTGTTTTTTTCGATATGGTGGTCCTTAGACCTGATCTAGTTGGAAATCGTCATCCCTTGTAGACGAGACAGTCCTTGAGGAAATTAAAGTTGCAATCAGTGCTCGCAGTGGATCTGCCATTTTGAAGGATCCTTCATATCCCTTCTATCCTGTGGTAAAGGAGTTTTAGGACGTAGTGTGTCATGATCCACCATCCACTCTACCTTCCGACAGAGGTGTGCGTCATGAAATTGACCTGGTCCCTGGGACCAAATATTGTGTTGCATGTCAATAGCCATTGACTAAGGAACAGTGTGACGTCATTGACGAGTTCTTTTGTGCAAAGCACGCGGCAGGCATGGTGTGGGAGAGCAAATCTCCACACTCGACACCGACCATTTGTGTCGGAAAGCTCAATGGAAAGTGGCGCATTGTGCACGCTTACGTTAAGCTCAATAATCTCGTGACGCAGTTGTTCCGGACTCATAGAGGATATGAACAAAGCTATTTCGATGAAATTATTGTCCATAGCCGTGCAGAACAAGGAAGATCAGATGTGGAAAATCACATTGACCATTTACAAGCAGTGCTCGGGTGCATGCGCATCAAAAGCTAAATGCAAATGCACCTGAATGCATTTTTGGTGCTGAAGAAATTCCTTTCTGAGGGTGATTCATTAGAAAGCGCGGCCTACAGGTAGATTCCGCTAGGGTAAAACCCATTGTGGATTGGCCGGTTCCGTCCAACCCAAAGAACTTGCGTAAATGGCTTGGTTTAGCCGATTATTTACACAAGTATAGTGCAAACTATGCTGACATGGCAAGGCCATTGAACAACCTCCTTAAAAAGGACGCGGTTTGGTGTTGGGACTTGGTCCGGCCACAAGCTTTCTAAGCTGTTAAGGAGAGTCTCCTTCATGCTCCAATTTTGGCTTTGCCTGACCCGGAGAGACCTTTCATTGTCGCATTTGACGCATCTGGTTTTGCCACTGGCAGTGCATTAATGCAAACTGATGTCTATGGACATGAGAGCGACATTGCGTATGAGTTTCGCCAGCTAAAAGCTGCTGGAAATAACTATCCAGTTCACGGCAAAGAGTTACTTGCGATAAAGCATACTCTTGTCAAATTTAGAGTACATCTACTTGGCTCCAAGCCGTTTGTAATCTACACGGATCATGCGCCGTTGGGCACTGCGACCCAGTCGCTTCATCTCTCGCAATGTATGGACCGTTGGCTTTCATTCTTCGCTGAGTATAACTTCGAGGTGAAGAATAAACTAGGGAAGCAAATGCTTTGGCCGATGCGTTATCACGCAGGCCGGATTATAAGCTTGCTCATATTACGACTCTGTCGTCTTCTATCCCTGTATAATCCGTGCAGCTTATCCCAAGGATGAGCAGTGTGTCGCGTTGTTACGCGCACTCGATTGTGATGAGTTTAAAGACTCGGACACTAAATTGCCGGCACGCTAGCGTGCAGGGCTACATAGAAATTCTTTCGACCATGGCCTCTTGTGTTGTAGCACGGATTCGGCGGGTTGTCCGCGCATCGTCGTATCTCATGAAGATGAAGTTAAAGTATCGTTTCATCTTTGACGCGCATGATACAGCTTTGAGCTGTCATTTCGGTCTAGAGAAGGCCTATGGCTCGGTCAGCCAACACAATTTATGGCCCAAATCATAGAAATGGATGAGCACATATGTGCATACGTGTGAAACGTGTCAACGGGTCAAACCCTCTGCTTATGCGGCTGCACCTTTGGCGAGTTTGCCTTAACCCACGGGTTGTTGGGAATCCATCAGTATGGATTCCAATATTTAGTCACTCGTGCCGGTCGTAGCTGGACGATCAGCGCCTGTTGTCTTCCGCTCTAATGTCTGTGCAAGCAGTGCCAACGCTCGCGTCATGGCTTCACGCTCGCTCGTACGGAAAGACTTTGTCTTGCATACTCGACACGGCACGCATCTCCGACTCTTTGCTATCAGGCTCCCACTCGATGAAGGCGGCCTCGGGGTAAATGAGCGAATAACCTCTTCTACTTCTTGCACCTCTTTCTCGACAAGACGAGTCACATCCTCCGCGTACCAAGCAAGCGTGAGCGGCACACCCTTTTCTAGATCTTTTGTCTCTAAAAACACCGGCTTGCACCTACCCAGGCCAAGACAAACAAAACACACGTCGTTAGTACCGAAGAATGAGCAGGACAAAACGAATCATGACGATTACAATAGCAGCAGTTCGCCGCCAAGATCGTCCCATCGAAGTCAACTTCAGCCTAGAACAGACCAATTATTGCACGGGTCAAGACCTAACACAAGTGGCGATACAAGTCGTGCTGTCCTGCCGTCATACCTGTAGCTAAATGTCGATGGTCCGACCCACTGTGACTGGACAGCATATACATTGTCAATGGACGGACGCGCCAGAAACAGCTCGCGGATGCCATAATCGATTTCCGGTTCCACTGACTGGCCCAATAAATACTTCTGATTCATTCGAATGAGCGATATTGCAGCACCGCTAAGAAGCACGCCAATCGATACACTAGCGAGACTGTCCCACACCGGGTTGCCAGTAATGTGGCTGGCCCCAATGCCACATCCAGCAATAACGATACCCACACATACTGACATATCTTCCAGCAGCACAGCCATCAGAAACGGATCATTTGTCCGCGTCACATGCTTGTAAAACGACATGTCTTGGGGCTGAGAAGCCCTCAGTTCCTGTACCGACCGCTTCAGCACCCATCCGTCAATGCCAAAAGAAGCTGCTAGCACACCCCACACTTCCCACGAAAGAAAAAGCTCTTTCGAAGGATCCAAGAGCGACTTAATCCCGTGGACAACCGTCACCCCAGAACCTAACCAGAATATGCCAAGCGCGTAGATGAGCGATCCAAAGTATGCAGCACGTGTGTATCCATATTGGTGCTTTTATCCGGCACACCCGATGCTTGCTTCAAGCCCAAGATCAGAATCGCCTGGTTGCCAGTGTCCACGAGCGAGTGAATTGCTTCCGAGAGCATGGCATTCGAGCCCGTCTTGAGTTACATCAGCACCTTGAGCGTCACAATGAGTGTGTTGCCGATCATGGCTCGAAGCATCACGTCTCGAGACGTCGAACGGCACACTTTACCTGGAAAATAGGCCTGATTCACGTCCGCACGGAGTTTCCCATAGGGTACGTGGGCTCAACAGCCATTGTACGAAACGGCTCCTCCTCCTTGTTATCCCCGTCCTCTTGTCACTTGCGCCTTCATCACCACTGCCTTTTGTACCCATCTTCTTCTTATCCTCCTTCCTCTTCATATCAGGAGCTTGTTCAGTATCAAAGTCTTGTCCATTAGGGACTGTCGTTGCAAGCCATCGGAGCGAAAGCGACTGCGTCACCGCGTTCGGAAGTGGACAAGGCAACATGCGACGATGACAATCCAAGCGACAGGCAGCGTGCGCACGCTCTACGAACTCCGCAGCGACAACTGCAGTGAGCGCAGCATGTGGCGAGCTATTGCCAGCCTTGGAAGCCCCGACACGTTAAGTGATGTGGCGCACACCAGTATCCAGCGCGCCAGCGAGTTTTCGACGGGCTATAGTTTTAGTATTCCATCAAAGAGAGAACAAGAACAAGAGAAAGAGAGAGCGCGTTTCGAAGTGCTACGATGCGACTCGTCGATTACTTTGTCGAAGTTGTTGCCAACAACGTGTTCTTTTTGCGATGCAGCATCTGTTGGTGAGGCAGATTTGGAATGGAGACCTCGTGTACTGTGCATGATTTCGCATCACCCCTTCTTTTCGCTTTTCAGCTGTGGCAACGTCATGCCCAGCGGGGTGTGAACAAGTGTGGTCACGAATGGAAACGTCAAGTCACATTGAAGTTTGCAGTGGCCTGGTGCATGAAAGTAGGACTAGTGAGCAGACTCGAGCAGGGGATGTGGTAGTATTGGCTTCATTGTAACATGAAGGCACCCGAAGTGTAAAAGTGAATTCATTGCATGGTAAAATTACTGACGCAGCAACAACTTGTGCATTGTTTCATGCATAATTCGTGTAGCAATGACCGCTACGTTTCTCGATATTGACACAGGACGCGCTCTCGAATCTGATCGGTTGTTGAAGTATATTTTATCCGTAGTTTCCAACGCCGATTGAACACAAGCAAATCCACATGTCACACGTACCACCACTGAACATGTATTCACTCGTGCCGGTAGTACCTGGACGATCAGCGCCTGTTGTCTTCCGCACTAATGTCCGTGCAAGCAGTGCCAACGCTCGCGTCATGGCTTCACGCTCGCTCGTACGGAAAGACTTTGTCTGCATACTCGACACGGAACGCATCTCCGACTCTTTGCTATCAGGCTCCCACTCGATGAAGGCGGCCTCAGGGTAACGCCGCGAATAACCTCTTCTACTTCTTGCACCTCTTTCTCGACAAGACGAGTCACATCCTCCGCGTACCAAGCAAGCGTGAGCGGCAAATCTTTAGTCAGAGCGCTTTGATTATGCAGATCGTTAGCAAGAGAGAGAGGGGAGGGAGATGGTCTACCTCGCGGGGACGCAGTCCTGACTGTGCTGACGAGTCAGTCGCTGTGGTGGACACTAAATACGACCTGCTTGTGACGACGCTCAACATTGGTGTGGACGACGCCAAGCACTAACTTCTCGTTTGTTTCAAGCAAACGAACGGCTCGAGATGCTGCGTCGGGTGTGGCAGCGAGCAGGCATGTGGCAGTCACCCGACGCGGTTTTATTGCGCCGTTGCTGTCAATGCACAGGACCGTGTGCTGCCGCGTCTACAAGATCGGTCCTCTCCACGCGCTTCGGCGCTGCGTCCGCGCGCGCGGTCGCCAGTCAATCAGACGCTGCCGAAAAAACGCCCCGCAGTCCGAACCAATTGAACGTTTTATTGTCGAATCAAACACCGCCCACGACTTTTGTAGCCACTTGTCGCGCGTTGCGCGTCATTGACGAGACGGCGCTATTGGTGACGATTGACGTCCGGACGTGGAACGTGGCACTGCAGCGACGACCGGAGGCTCAAGGCGAACGCGTGGCACCGGAGCTCTTGGGTTTAATCGCGAATTGTAGTTGCGAAAATGCAAGTGTACCCATGTGGACCGATTTGTTTTTTACAGTGTGACGACAGCGTTCTTTACGCGGGTTTCGAACGGATGAGATGCAGAAGCTCTTGAGACAGTTGAAGCGGAGATACGGACCGCAATTTGTAGCCCGCGTGCTCGTAGCCGTGGTCAATGGCTGTGCCAATATCAAGATGTTTGCAGCTGCTCACGAGCTGCTGCTGTATCAGCAGACGTTGTGGCCGGAGATTCGCTCTGGTGCTACTACTACATACGCGACATTGACGACGGGGTGGAGCGAGCAAAGTAAAACGCTGATGCCGCCATCAGTGGTTGGCCACCTGATGGCCAAGATGGGCCCATTATGCAAAAGGAACACTGTCACTTTTTAAAAAAGTTCCAATTGATTATTAACATTAAGTTTAAGAATTATTTCAATCTCAAAAGTTCTTTCTTAATTTTTTTGTAAATAAATTCAATTTAATTGTATTTAATTTTGATACATTTAAATTCTTATGAATGTTTCTATTATTTTGAAAACAAATTTTATTTCGTGGCTGGAATTAACATATTTGCTAAAGCATAAATAAATAAAGCAATACAGAATAAAGGCATTGCATGTGCTAAACCTCCGTAATAATTTATATAACGAGTATGATATCTATCATAGAGACATCTTAATGAAAACCGTAATCCACTAAGTACTAAAATGATACTTTGTACTTTATTTATTTGATCAATAAACATTTTTCTTAATTTTTTTTCAAAAACAAATTATTTTAACTATTTTTAAATAAAAAAAGAACTTACAAGGAAAAACATGGTCAAGTGCTGGCGCTTGCGCGCGCGTATTTTGCTAGTGCTGCGTTCGATCCAGTGCGAGATTTCCAGCAACGAGGGTTCCTTGAACTGTTTAAATCAAGTGTGCACACGTAACAGTGTCCGAAATGTGGTGCACGTGTTTTCGGACTATGTGGAGAGAACGCGCCGTGCAGCAGGAGGCAAGGTGGAGAGAGTGAGGACACGAGTGCTCGAGCAAGGCTTTGGAGCTGCGATTCGCTGCTGTGTAAAGCTTGATGAATATTCGCTGGCGTTGCATTGTTATGAAGTGATGGAAAGCACACGAGAGAGGCTCGGTTGTGCTGGGACGACTTACCGGTGGACGACGCGATCGACGAAGCTGCAGAGAGGGTTGGCATCGTGGATGAAGTGCTGCTAGCTGATGAAAATATTTACGTCAACGTGTTAAAAGCATGTATGGAGATCGAGGATTTCTTCACGTTTAAAGATGCGTTCCGCGGGATGGTAGCTCGAGGTGTGGCTCGTACTGCTGGATTCGGGTCAGCGATTCGTTATTGTCACAAGCATTTGGATCCAGTGTTCCTTGAAGAAGTGTTGGACGTGGTATTCTGGACAGAACAGAAGTTTGCAGGTGCCTGGATACTAGAGGTAGAAAACTATAACGATGCGCTTGGCTGTTTTGCCGCTACGAATAGACCAGACCAAGCCAAGGAGCTGTTCTCGCAATTGCTGAAAAACTCGTCGATAGTGCCCGGCATATTACGATGCTTGAGATGGTGGAGAGTCAGTGCAACGCCTCGATCGGGGAGGCGTTTAATCTCATGGACGTGTTTCTTGAGTGGAAGCTAACATCGAATATTCAGGTGTTCACATCGCTCCTGTCCATCTACATGCGCCGTCGTGAAGTAGGCAATGCTGTTGCGCTCATTGGTGCGATGGAAGAGCATGATATCGTTCCGGATGTGAAGGCATTCACGACTGTGGCGTTCATTCATGCATCCCGCGGTGACTTGAAGGCTGTGGGAGACGTGTTACGAGACATGGCGAGTCAAGGTGTTGCTACCGACAGGATGCTCTTTGACTACGTCCTCAACACACTGTACGGGTCTTGCGGTATCGACATTTGTTTCTTGCTCTTGCGTGAGCTGAGTGCAAACGAGCTGGCGATTCCAGGCGGACTGTACGTCTTGCTAATTGGTCTCGGCACCACGATTGGTTTGATTGAGCGCACGGTGCAGATTGCGTACAACATGGAGTGCGAAGGCTACCATCTCTCATCGAAGCAGTTGTACGCGTTGATAATGCGTTGTCACTCGGACGGCGAGATTTCGGAGTTTGTGCGGACGTTTGTGCTGTTACACCAGGGCGTGCCGCCTCAGACTCCGCGCGTTGAGGTGGAAATGTATGAAGATTTCGTGGTGAAGTCGATCTCACAAAATTGCTTCTATGAGTGTCGATCTTCCACTTGCCCAGACTTGCCGACTCACGGAGGGGGTACTCCGATCCGTGCCTTGTTGTATGACCTTGTGCTCACCTTGTGTACCCGTCGGTTGGGCTGGCTTGAGCTCTTCGTAACGGCCTTGGGAGATGTCGATCTCGCTGAGAGGTTGGGTTGAGGGTTCGCTTCCGGTGCGGAAATCTTCACACCACGAACGGGGTTCTGCGATCCCGATCTTGGATCGCACCAATCTTGATTTGTCTTCGAGATCGGGGTCTTTGCTGTGCGGAAATCTTCACTCAGCAAATAAAAGTCCTGCGTCGATCTTGCCTTGGGATCGGCCGATCTTGCCGGAAGTGCGCAATTTGGGTAGATCGTTGTCTTGTTTCGCTAAAATAAAACGTGCCGATCTGTCCAGGGGATCGCTTCGATCCTGCTCGGTCTTGTCATGAACGCCTTGTCCAGATCTTCTGACCACTTGAGCCGTCTCGCGATCCTGTGTCCAAAATCCTTTTCCTTTTCCGTTGTGTGCTGCTACCCTAGCAGTTGAGTTGATAGTGAGTACTTGATCGATCCGGGCCAGATATCCCGGGATCGCTCTTCTCGATCTTGGCCAACAATCCAAGATCGGTCTTCTGTGTCCCTGTAACACGCGTGCCTTAACCCGCCGGGGAAGCCAAATCAATCTTGCCTGGAGAAGAGGGGAGGATAACGTGCGTCGTGAGCAGAAGAAGTAGAGTTCAAGTCTGTTTATTAACCAACCAAATTACTATCCAACCTACCCTTAAGCCTATTCTTAACAATAGGTCACTCTTCAAACCGATATCGCCTTGAATCTGGATCGCCCCCTTGCCACGTGTCGAAATTTCGTGCCCTGTACTTTAATGATAGCGCCAATATTCCCGATACCGTACCTGAACGCCAAAAGAGGACCAAATCCCAAATGGGGTACCAAATACCCATTTGGGATTTGGTACCCAAAAGCCCAAAATAGTGCCCAAATGCCGAAGGCGTCTAAATCCATTTTGCGACGTCAATTTAACCGGCTTCCACTGGCTCTTTCGATCTGAACTTTTGAGACATCACTCATGGACCTTCAACAAGCATGTTTGTCATGATCCAAAATTCTCATCAACGATACATCCATGATCACTGGGGATCATGACCGATCTGATGCCCAATTCGAGATTGTTGAGGATCGACACAGTACAATCCGGCCATACATGTTCTTCCGTTCATTGTGTGCACTCCGATGCTTTATCAAAATGATTCTGCTCCAGCATCCACATCCTTGCCTCTGATCAGCCTTCAGAGTGGTCTTTGGTTCAATCCAGTCCCTCATCCCAGATCGCACCGTGGAAGTCACCCCTTGCTACGCCCCGTCTCAAACCACGTCGCATCGCCTGGTCCCAGGCGTACTTTTCTCAAATGATTCTGCTTCAACATCCACATCCTTTCATTTGATCAGCCTTTAGAGTGGTCGTTCGGTTCAATCCAGTCCCTCGTCCCAGATCGCACCGTTGGAATCACCCCTTTCTACGCCCCGTCTCAAATCACGTTGCATCGCCTGGTCCTAGGCGTACCTCTTCCGCCAGTGGGTGACATCTTAACTGGGTGGACACCGATCCACGTCCCATCATTTGATTAGTGACTTTACCACAGTTACACCTTCGTCGCAGAGTCATATTCCATCACCCGGTCCCAGATCCTAGTCCCAGATTGTTCCATGTAAATCGTTCCAGATCGCTCCGTCCCAGGTCGATCCATACCCATTATTCTAACGACAGTTGGATCGGTTCGCCGATCCCGTTAAGATCATCTTCCACCTCCGTATTGGATCGCCGAGTCTCATGGCCTCCTTTTCCACCAGTAAGCGGCGCTTTAAAGATGTGGCCACCGATCCTCGTACAAAATTTGAGTAGTGACTTTGCCACAATTTGACATCGATGCTGACGCAATTCAGTCGCAAAAACGAAGTTCCGAAAGTGCAGGAGCTGGCTAGATCAGTGGGGTACACTGATTTGATTGTTTAAGCATATTTGTTGGTACGGTTCGCCGTGCCGCGCCACGCCGCGCTCAAGGCATATATACCCACGAAATAACGGTCCGCATCGTTCTTCTTTCACACGGCATTTCATTGTTTTTTGTTCCATCTATGCTATTATCCGGTGTCGACGTACTGCTCAAGCTGCTTAAGCAGGGGTTAGTAGAGCTTTTCGTTGGCTTGAACAGCCCAAACAAAGTCCGAATGGCTAAATCTGCTGATCTCATTCTCATAGACAATTGTGCTGGACGACAACGCAGATCGTAGCTGATCGATGTCAGCTCGAGTGGCAAAGATGCCGTTTCATCAGTAAAAAATCCAGTGCGAGGGTACTCCATGCTGCTGATGGGAAAATCGGGCGGGTCAAAGCTGCCGTACTTGACTTTGTTGGTGCACCTGTTTTCGGACACAGGTGAATGCCAAGCATGCGAGGACATCTGCAGCCATGGTCGAACGCTGAAAAGGTGTTTTCGCGGATGCTTTGGGCATAGTGGTGCATACTCTTGACGGAGGTTCCTGAGGCACATCTAAAGCGTAACCGCCTATACGAGATGCGTTCAAGTTCTCCGTAGATCTGACTACGAATGCAAACCTCGAGGCGCACAATTCTGGACCCGTGTGACATTCAGCCGGTCGAATGATTTTTTGTAGCGACGCGTTATGCGAAAAGAGCTGGACTTGACCGGAGGCCTCGAGGACCTTGTCGAAGTAGGCACGAGCAAGGAGCTTGAACGTCCTCGAATCTGTATTGCCTAGTCAGGCAACAGGTCCTAGAGTCGCACAATAGGACACGGATCGAGCGAGGGTCTGGTTTTTCAGCAAACGCAACGAATGCCTGAGTTGACCCATGCGAATACCCTACAAGAGCCAGTGTCTCCCGTCCCGACGTCTCCAGAGCATAGTTGAGCATTGCTGGCACCTCAAACTGCCCATGTCTTTCCACAAAAGGCCCAGAACGCAGTGTCTTTGGTCGTGTACTTAGCGTGGCTGGACGAGTACGTATTGCCGCGATTATTTCCAAGCCAGACATCGTAGCCAGCATCAGCAAGCACGTAGGTGAGACTGTGGTTCCGGGAGTCGAACACCCATGCAAAACTACTGGCCACCATTTCATGCTGGACGAAAACAGCTGGTTTGTCTCGGTCTGCCTTGTCGTTGTTGTTGGCATCTGCTTGGCTTTCTCTGTACGAAGTTGGTAAGCAATGCATGGAGAGGATGTATCCATCTAGTGTCGTGACATTGTGCGTCTCCACTACGTAGCCACGCGCTTGAACGAGCTCAACAGTGGACTTCCCAGTATCTGGATCGAGGTCTAGATCAGCTGCCGTGACTTTGTCGCAGTGCAAGAGCGAGTGAGTCAAAGCAAGCAGCGCGAGTTCCGAGCACAGGACCACGAGGGCTTTGTCTCGAGATGAAAAACCTCCCGCAGTGTTGACAGGATGACGTTTACGATAATGAAGGTGCGGCACCAAATACCGCGAAACCGAAGAATACACAGCACAGATTCGTGCACTTTCGTTCGCCTTCTATCTTGTGGTCTTCCTTGGCGTCTCCTTTGTCATTTGCACCTCATCAGTTGTCGTCCCCTTTACTGCCACCGACTTTCCATCATTTGACTGCTACAAGGGCTCGATGATCCATATAATTGGGCAAGCAGCACCGTCTGCTCTGCTGAATGTCCGCTTTGTAACCTTCATCGTAATCATCAATTTGATTACTCGTGTCGTTTCGTTCACTGCCATAATCAGTCCAAGGGCTCGTCTGCTGCCGCGCGTGAGTTAAGACCGTGTTTTCTGTCGAAAATGCCACATGTGTACGTATTTCGATCCAAAAATAGAATCCGAAACGCTCCCGAGGCAACTCTTAACGTCGCATAGGTGATAGGATATCAGAAACTAGTGACTGAATGTAGAGAGTGATGACATAATGCAGAGAGTGCTGGCAGGAGATGACGTTGTGCAGGTGTTCATTAAACTTATTTTGACTACCATTTTATAGGTGAGGTAGGTAAAGATGACGTGAGCCATGTAGTCGGTCTTGGGACGAGGTACATGAGATGACCAGACCTCAGTATAGAAGAGCGAGTAAGAGACTGCAGGAAGTATAGTCGCTTGATGGGTTGAACAAGCATGGAGAGTATGCCTGATTGGTGAGAGAAATGCGTACTTACTCGCACGTCGCAGACTCGGGTCCGTGCATCTCATAGGTCGGAGCAAAGGCATGAGCGAGGACGACTTCATTCTGAAAAAATCGATATCAGCAACACTCGAGTCTACAACACAATCCCGTTGACAACTTAACCAGTTTGAATGATCATGATGAGTGCATGATTCATTTCTCGATCTATCAATTTACTTGTTGCTGACGTTTCTCTTCTGTGTGCATGTGTTTACTAGTGGATTACTATCGAGATCCAGAGCTTATGCAACCTCGTTGAAGAGAGTATCCGTCATGTACTGAGTGTCCTGTCGGAGATTGCTTCCAAAGCATGCGGCATCTACGAGAAGAGCGTTAGTCCCACTGATTGGGACTTCAACCAGCTCACCAAGCTGCGCTCAAGTGACGAGAAGCACTGCACCATTGGGTGTAGCCACGCACTGCGCCCGCTAAAGGAAACAAGCAGGCACAACGAGTGCCATGCTACCCAAGATGGTACTGCAGATGCCTATCCGGCGAACAGTTTCAAGTTGAAGCCTATTTGCAACGAGATTAATACCAAGGAGTTCACACAGCTCGTTGCTACTCGCGATCCTTATGACGATGGGGAAGATAGGACGTGGTACAGCCGGACACTGCTCCATTTAAAGAACAAGCGCCAACGCCAGTTGAGCCGCTACGATCGAGCTGATTCGTTTTGTTCGACAATCTCAAGTGTTGACTAGTTTACACTTGCAGTGTCTTAGACCGTAGTCTAGCGATAAACGTTGTTAATATATCTATCCGTTAAACATGGTTCGCAACTTTAATAATGTCAACAATAAAAGCATACTCAAGAAACGTGCGCAGTCACAGCAACAATGCTCTGCACGAATGCGACAGCCTTCTGTAAACGCGCATATATTATCTTATTCAGCTAAACTCGTCTAATTCGCTTCTACAGCTGCAAGTCGAGCCAGCTGCAGCAACACAGCTGACAGTTTCTTGGAGCCACGTCCATGCCAGTAAGATTCATCTTCATCCGCACGTCTGTGATAGTCAATGCTTCAGATGAAAAACTAAGTCACGCTCAGCGGGTTGCGGACAAGTGGTCACGAATGGAAACGTCAAGTCACATTGAAGTTTGCAGTGGCCTGGTGCGTGAAAGTAGCATTAAGCGAAGGGGAAGGACTAGTGAGCAGACTCGAGCAGGGGGTGTGGTAGTATTGGCTTCATTGTAACATGAAGGCACCCGAGGTGTGCAAGTGAATTCATTGCATGGTAAAAGTACTGACGCAGCAACAACTTGTGCATTGTTTCATGCATAATTCGTGTAGCAATGACCGCTACGCTTCTCGATATTGACACAGGACGCGCTCTCGAATCTGATCGGTTGTTGAAGTATATTTTATCCGTAGTTTCCAACGCCGATTGAACACAAGCAAATCCACATGTCACACGTACCACCACTGAACATGTATTCACTCGTGCCGGTAGTACCTGGACGATCAGCGCCTGTTGTCTTCCGCCCTAATGCCCGTGCGAGCAGTGCCAGCGCTCGCGTCATGGCTTCACGCTCGCTCGTACGGGAAGACTTTGTCTGCACACTCAACACGGCACGCATCTCCGACTCTTTGCTATCAGGCTCTTACTCGATGAAGGCGGCCTCGGGGTAAATGCCGCGTATAACATCTTCTACTTCTTGCACCTCTTTCTCGACAAGACGAGTCACATCCTCCGCGTACCAAGCAAGCGTGAGCGCCAAATCTTTAGTCAGGGCGCTTTGATTATGCAGATCGTTAGCAAGAGAGAGAGGGGAGGGAGATGGTCTACCTCGCGGGGACGCAGTCCTGACTGTGCTGACGAGTCAGTCGCTGTGGTGGACACTAAATACGACCTGCTTGTGACGACGCTCAACATTGGTGTGGACGACGCCAAGCACTAACTTCTCGTTTGTTTCAAGCAAACGAACGGCTCGAGATGCTGCGTCGGGTGTGGCAGCGAGCAGGCATGTGGCAGTCACCCGACGCGGTTCTATTGCGCCGTTGCTGTCAATGCATAGGACCGTGTGCTGCCGCGTCTACAAGATCGGTCCTCTCCACGCGCTTCGGCGCTGCGTCCGCGCGCGCGGTCGCCAGTCAATCAGACGCTGCCGAAAAAACGCCCCGCAGTCCGAACCAATTGAACGTTTTATTGTCGAATCAAACACCGCCCACGACTTTTGTAGCCACTTGTCGCGCGTTGCGCGTCATTGACGAGACGGCGCTATTGGTGACGATTGACGTCCGGACGTGGTACGTGGCACTGCAGCGACGACCGGAGGCTCAAGGCGAACGCGTGGCACCGGAGCTCTTGGGTTTAATCGCGAATTGTAGTTGCGAAAATGCAAGTGTACCCATGTGGACCGATTTGTTTTTTACAGTGTGACGACAGCGTTCTTTACGCGGGTTTCGAACGGATGAGATGCAGAAGCTCTTGAGACAGTTGAAGCGGAGATACGGACCGCAATTTGTAGCCCGCGTGCTCGTAGCCGTGGTCAATGGCTGTGCCAATATCAAGATGTTTGCAGCTGCTCACGAGCTGCTGCTGTATCAGCAGACGTTGTGGCCGGAGATTCGCTCTGGTGCTACTACTACATACGCGACATTGACGACGGGGTGGAGCGAGCAAAGTAAAACGCTGATGCCGCCATCAGTGGTTGGCCACCTGATGGCCAAGATGGGCCCATTATGCAAAAGGAACGCTGTCACTTTTTAAAAAAGTTCCAATTGATTATTAACATTAAGTTTAAGAATTATTTCAATCTCAAAAGTTCTTTCTTAATTTTTTTGTAAATAAATTCAATTTAATTGTATTTAATTTTGATACATTTAAATTCTTATGAATGTTTCTATTATTTTGAAAACAAATTTTATTTCGTGGCTGGAATTGACATATTTGCTAAAACATAAATAAATAAAGCAATACAGAATAAAGGCATTGTATGTGCTAAACCTCCGTAATAATTTATGAAACGAGTATGATATCTATCATATAGACATCTTAATGAAAAAAATAATCCACTAAGTACTAAAATGATACTTTGTACTTTATTTATTTGATCAATAAACATTTTTCTTAATTTTTTTCAAAAACAAATTATTTTAACTATTTTTAAATAAAAAAAGAACTTACAAGGAAAAACATGGTCAAGTGCTGGCGCTTGCGCGCGCGTATTTTGCTAGTGCTGCGTTCGATCCAGTGCGAGATTTCCAGCAACGAGGGTTCCTTGAACTGTTTAAATCAAGTGTGCACACGTAACAGTGTCCGAAATGTGGTGCACGTGTTTTCGGACTATGTGGAGAGAACGCGCCGTGCAGCAGGAGGCAAGGTGGAGAGAGTGAGGACACGAGTGCTCGAGCAAGGCTTTGGAGCTGCGATTCGCTGCTGTGTAAAGCTTGATGAATATTCGCTGGCGTTGCATTGTTATGAAGTGATGGAAAGCACACGAGAGAGGCTCGGTTGTGCTGGGACGACTTACCGGTGGACGACGCGATCGACGAAGCTGCAGAGAGGGTTGGCATCGTGGATGAAGTGCTGCTAGCTGATGAAAATATTTACGTCAACGTGTTAAAAGCATGTATGGAGATCGAGGATTTCTCCACGTTTAAAGATGCGTTCCGCGGGATGGTAGCTCGAGGTGTGGCTCGTACTGCTGGATTCGGGTCAGCGATTCGTTATTGTCACAAGCATTTGGATCCAGTGTTCCTTGAAGAAGTGTTGGACGTGGTATTCTGGACAGAACAGAAGTTTGCAGGTGCCTGGATACTAGAGGTAGAAAACTATAACGATGCGCTTGGCTGTTTTGCCGCTACGAATAGACCAGACCAAGCCAAGGAGCTGTTCTCGCAATTGCTGAAAAACTCGTCGATAGTGCCCGGCATATTACGATGCTTGAGATGGTGGAGAGTCAGTGCAACGCCTCGATCGGGGAGGCGTTTAATCTCATGGACGTGTTTCTTGAGTGGAAGCTAACATCGAATATTCAGGTGTTCACATCGCTCCTGTCCATCTACATGCGCCGTCGTGAAGTAGGCAATGCTGTTGCGCTCATCGGTGCGATGGAAGAGCATGATATCGTTCCGGATGTGAAGGCATTCACGACTGTGGCGTTCATTCATGCATCCCGCGGTGACTTGAAGGCTGTGGGAGACGTGTTACGAGACATGGCGAGTCAAGGTGTTGCTACCGACAGGATGTTCTTTGACTACGTCCTCAACGCACTGTACGGGTATTGCGGTATCGACATTTGTTTCTTGCTCTTGCGTGAGCTGAGTGCAAACGAGCTGGCGATTCCAGGCGGACTGTACGTCTTGCGAATTGGTCTCGGCACCACGATTGGTTTGATTGAGCGCACGGTGCAGATTGCGTACAACATGGAGTGCGAAGGCTACCATCTCTCATCGAAGCAGTTGTACGCGTTGATAATGCGTTGTCACTCGGACGGCGAGATTTCGGAGTTTGTGCGGACGTTTGTGCTGTTACACCGGGGCGTGCCGCCCCAGACTCCGCGCGTTGAGGTGGAAATGTATGAAAATTTGATATCGATGCTGACGCAATTCAATCGCAAAAACGAAGTTCCGAAAGTGCAGGAGCTGGCTAGATCAGTGGGGTACACTGATTTGATTGTTTAAGCATATTTGTTGGTACGGTTCGCCGTGCCGCGCCACGCCGCGCTCAAGGCATATATACCCACGAAATAACGGTCCGTATCGTTCTTCTTTCACACGGCATTTCATTGTTTTTTGTTCCATCTATGCTATTATCCGGTGTCGACGTACTTCTCAAGCTGCTTAAGCAGGGGTTAGTAGAGCTTTTCGTTGGCTTGAACAGCCCAAACAAAGTCCGAATGGCTAAATCTGCTGATCTCATTCTCATAGACAATTGTGCTGGACGACAACGCAGATCGTAACTGATCGATGTCAGCTCGAGTGGCAAAGATGCCGTTTCATCAGTAAAAAATCCAGTGCGAGGGTACTCCATGCTGCTGATGGGAAAACCTGGTGGGTCTAAGCTGCCGTACTTGACTTTGTTGGTGCACCTGTTTTCGGACACAGGTGAATGCCAAGCATGCGAGGACATCTGCAGTCATAGTCGAACGCCGAAAAGGTGTTGTCGCGGATGCTTTGGGCATAGTGGTGCATACTCTTGACGGAGGTTCCTGAGGCACATCTAAAGCGTAACCGCCTATACGAGATGCGTTCAAGTTCTCCGTAGATCTGACTACGAATGCAAACCCCGAGGCGCACAATTCTGGACCCGTGTGACATGCAGCTGGTCGAATGATTTTTTGTAGCGACGCGTTATGCGAAAAGAGCTGGACTCGACCGGAGGCCTCGAGGACCTTGTCGAAGTAGGCACGAGCAAGGAGCTTGAACGTCCTCGAATCTGTATTGCCTAGCCAGGCAACAGGTCCTAGAGTCGCACAATAGGACACGGATCGAGCGAGGGTCTGGTTTTTCAGCAAACGCAACGAATGCCTGAGTTGACCCCTGCGAATACCCTACAAGAGCCAGTGTCTCCCGTCCCGACGTCTCCAGAGCATAGTTGAGCATTGCTGGCACCTCAAACTGCCCATGTCTTTCCACAAAAGGCCCAGAACGCAGTGTCTTTGGTCGTGTACTTAGCGTGGCTGGACGAGTACGTATTGCCGCGATTATTTCCAAGCCAGACATCGTAGCCAGCATCAGCAAGCACGTAGGTGAGACTGTGGTTCCGGGAGTCGAACACCCATGCAAAACTACTGGCCACCATTTCATGCTGGACGAAAACAGCTGGTTTGTTTCGGTCTGCCTTGTCGTTGTTGTTGGCATCTGCTTGGCTTTCTCTGTACGAAGTTGGTAAGCAATGCATGGAGAGGATGTATCCATCTATTTGTCGTGACATTGTGCGTCTCCAATGCGTCCACAGTCTACGAGACACTCGATCCAGGTTCAGAATACAGTGATCTGACATCTTCGAAGTCTCGCAGATCAACTGATCGTCACGTCTAGCTCCATTTCGGTGTCTGTGCTATCAATGGCGGTGATGTCCACGACCAGCAGTGATTACTACACTTGACACCATCCATTTGCGTAGTACCGAAGATAAACTGTCGCAGGGTAGACAGAGCTACCTGAGTTTGAACCGTGCGGCTAGTCTGAGCTCGCTCAATCCGAACTGCAAGTTGACGGCACAATTTGCACGGTAACTTCGCCTAGATGATCTGACAAGTCGAACGCTTCTGACGAGCAGTTCCATTGGATTTGCACCAATGATCAGATGTGGACATCTTAGCTGCCTAGGCAGAGTTAGATCTACTTTTTATCTTCGATCTTTCTGATTATTCATTCAACGTCTCAAGGGATTGCGCCATCCTTCCTGCTTCCTGCCAGTCGCCACAAAAACTTCTTGAAGGCCGTCCACGCCACTCAGGCTACCTTGAGAATGAACCACTGGTACATTCGATGCACCCTTATAAGCCAATGGGTGAGAGAAAGCCGGCGATGTTTCTGGTCACAATGTCCCACACCAACTTCGTTGAGATTACGTGAGCGGCTTCTTGTGGTCCGGATGGTCACTCTTTGAATCCGAACTGCAAGCGTAGTATTTACGGCATCGATTTTACGATGATGACATCAGACTTTATCAGACGAGCAGCTCGATAAAAGACCTACATGATATATGTGTGGACAGCCTATGCATCAGGGTGCAAGCAGAATAAACTCCGATGAATCAAACTATTGAATCTACCTTCTCCTATTCAAGTCGTTTGCACTTCCTGTGCAGACTTCTCTCATGCTCTTCAAGCCTTCTCGACAAATCCTCTTACCCTTTGACATCCATCAATGTCCACAAGACAAAGCGTTTCTCATTCTATTCGCTGTCTTCATCGTAATCTTTCAGTGAACATTGATCAATGCCCTCAAGCTGCACAAGCTGCGTGGATCTCCTCAATAGTCGTACTTAAGCTTATGCTGGTACATCTATCTCCCCACGATTTGTACTCCAATTTACCGCTGTACACAGAGTATCGAGATTCTCGTTTATTGCTGAAGTATCTATTTACCAGCATCCACCATTGCTGCCTTCTTCCTCTGTTGCTCCATAAGGTCATTCATCAACACCTTTCAATGTAATGCGTCCACAGTCTCGTGGTACTCCTCCAGGTTCAGAATAAAGTGATCTAACATCTTCGAATCTCGCAGATCAAATTGATCGTCACGTCTTTCTCCATTTCGGTGTCTGTGCTGTTCATCTTGGCGGTGGTGTCCAGGACCTTTTTGCAGTGTTACTACACTTGACATCCATCCATTTGGTAGTACCAAAGATCTGTCGCATGATATATAGAGCTACCTGGTTCGAACCGTACGGGTAGTCGAGCTCGCTCAATCAGAGCTGCAAGTTGACGGCAACAATTTTTAAGGTAACTACGCCTAAGATGATCGGACAAATCGTACACTTCGACGAGCAGTACGATTAGATGCACCAATGATCGGAGGTGGACATCTTAGCTGCGTAGGCAGAGTTAGATCTGCTTTTTATCTTCGATCTCTCTCATTATTCATTCAACGTCTCAAGGGGATTGCGCCATCCTTCCTGCTTCCTGCCAGTCGCCGTAAAACTTCTTGAAGGCCGTCCACGCCACTCAGGCTACCTTGAGAATGAAGCACTGGTACATTCGATGCACCCTCGTGTGCCAATGGGTGAGAGAAAGCCGGCGATGTTTCTGGTCACAATGTGCCACACCAACTTCGTTGAGATTACGTGAGCGGCTTCTTGTGGTCCGGATGGTCACTCTTTGAATCCGAACTTCAAGCATAGTATTTACGGCATCGTTTTTACGATGTTGATATCAGACTTCATCAGACGAGCAGCTCGATTGAAAGACCTACATGATATCTATGTGGACAGCTTATACATCAGGGTGCAAGCCGAATAAACTCCGATGAATCAACACCTTTGAATCTACCTTCTCCTATTCAAGTCGTTTGCACTTCCTGTGCAGACTTCCTTCGTGCTCTCCAAGCTTCCTCTACAAAGCCTCTTATCCTTTGACACCCATCAATGTCCACAAGACAAAGCGTTTCTCATTCTATTCGCTGTCTTCATCGTAATCGTTCAGTGAACATTGATCAATGCCCTCAAGCTGCACAAGCTGCGTGGATCTCCTCAATAGTCTTACTTAAGCTTATGCTGGTACAGCTATCTCCCCACGATGTGTACTCCAATTTACCGCTGTACACAGAGTATCGAGATTCGCGTTTATTAATGAAGCATCTATTTACCAGCATCCACCATTGCTGCCTTCTTCCTCGGTTGCTCCATAAGGTCATTCATCAACACCTTTCAATGTAATGCGTCCACAGTCTCGCGATACTCATCCAGGTTCAGAATAAAGTGATCTGACATCTTCGAATCTCGCAGATCAAACCGATCGTCACGTTTTTCTCCATTCCGGTATCTGCTGCGATTCATCTTAGCGGTGGTGTCCAGGACCTTTTTGCAGTGTTACCACACCTGACATCCATCCATTTTGTAGTACCGAAGATCTGTCGCATGATATATAGAGCTACCTGGTTTGAGCCGTGCGGGTAGTCATTGCTCGCTCAATCCGAACTGCAAGTTGACGGCAACAATTTTTAAGGTAACTACGCCTAAGATGATCGGACAAATCGTACACTTCGACGAGCAGTACGATTAGATGCACCAATGATCGGAGGTGGACATCTTAGCTGCGTAGGCAGAGTTGGATCTGCTTTTTATCTTCGATCTTTCTCATTATTCATTCAACGTCCCAAGGGGATTGCGTTATCCTTCCTGCTTCCTGCCAGTCGCCGTAAAACTTCTTGAAGGCCGTCCACGCCACTCAGGCTACCTTGAGAATGAAGCACTGGTACATTCGATGCACCCTCATGTGCCAGTGGGTGAGCGAAAGCCGGCGATGTTTCTGGTCACAATGTGCCACACCAACTTCGTTAAGATTACGTGAGCGGCTTCTTGTGGTCTGAATGGTCACGCTTTGAATCCGAACTGCAAGCGTAGTATCTACGGCATCGTTTTCACGATTATGACATCAGACTTCATCAGACGAGCAGCTCGATTGAAAGACCTACATGATTCGATTTGTGGACAGCTTATACATCAGGGTGCAAGCAGAATAAACTCCGATGAATCAACACTTCTGAATCTACCTTCTCCTATTCAAGTCGTTTGCACTTCCTGTGCAGACTTCCTTCGTGCTCTCCAAGCTTCCTCGACAAAGCCTCTTACCCTTTGACATCCATCAATGTCCACAAGACAAAGCGTTTCTCATTGTATTCGCTGTCTTCATCATAATCTTTCAGTGAACATTGATCAATGCCCTCAAGCTGCACAAGCTGCGTGGATCTCCTCAATAGTCGTACTTAAGCTTATGCTGGTACAGCTAGCTCCCCACGATGTGTACTCCAATTTACCGCTGTACACAGAGTATCGAGATTCGCGTTTATTACTGAAGTATCTATTTACCAGCATCCACCATTGCTGCCTTCTTCCTCTGTTGCTCCATAAGGTCACTCATCAACACCTTTCAATGTAATGCGTCCACAGTCTCGTGACACTCATCCAGGTTCAGAATAAAGTGATCTGACATCTTCGAATCTCGCAGATCAAACCGATCGTCACGTCTTTCTCCATTTCGGTGTCTGTGCTGTTCATCTTGGCGGTGGTGTCCAGGACCTTTTTGCAGTGTTGCTACACTTGACATCCATCCATTTGGTAGTACCGAAGATCTGTCGCATGATATATAGAGCTACCTTTTTCGAGCCTTGCGGGTAGTCGAGCTCGCTCAACCTGAACTGCAATTTGACGGAAACCTTTTTTAAGGTAACTACGCGTGAGATGATCGGACAAATCGAACACTTCGACGAGCAGTACGATTGGATGCACCAATGATCGGAGGTGGACATCTTAGCTGCGTAGGCAGAGTTAGATCTGCTTTTTATCTTCGATCTTTGCTCATTATTCATTCAATGTCTCAACGGGATTGCGCCATCCTTCCTGCTTCCTGCCAGTCGCCGTAAAACTTCTTGAAGGCCGTCCACGCCACTCAGGCTACCTTGAGAATGAAGCACTGGTACATTCGATGCACCCTCATGTGCCAGTGGGTGAGGCGAAAGCCGGCGATGTTTCTGGTCACAACGTGACACACCAACTTCGTTGAGATTACGTGAGCGGCTTCTTGTGGTCCGGATGGTCACTCTTTGAATCCGAACTTCAAGCGTAGTATTTACGGCATCGTTTTTAAGATAATGACATCAGACTTCATCAGACGAGCAGCTCGATTGAAAGACCTACATGATATATATGTGGACAGCCTATGCATCAGGGTGCAAGTAGAATGAACTCCGATGAATCAACACTTTTGAATCTACCTTCTCC